TGTGATAAGCTTTAAGCTTAATTTCTGGCAGCACAATCTGTTGTCGTACCCTGTAAGCACAATGAATAGCATTGTAGCTAGACTGGCAACAGATTTCATCAAAACATTTCAGCAGATTGACATCATCTGCGTCCACATTCAGGCCAGAATTTACTGACATTCTCGGACAGCAAATTGTCGGCAGAAACCGAGCAAGATCTGCACAGTGCAATTTGATGGCAAAAACTGTGCAGAATCTGAGAGGCGCAGTTTGATCGGAAATTGGCAGCAGAAATTGAGCAGGATCTGCTATTTGATTTATATTTTTCACCGTTTTTGTTCCTTTCATTACGAAGATAAAAATAAGTAAGTAGTCCTTTAAGATTTCTACGCGCTCGTAGACAAGAGTGCAAGAAGTGTCATGCCACGTGTCCATCTAGTGGGAATGTTACGCTACTAAACGACAGAATTTGCTCCATTTTGTTAGCAATCTGCCGACAAGTTATGTCAGCAGATTCTGCTCGATTTCTGCCGCCAGTCTGCTGTCTAAACATGTTATTAAGCTTTGTTATATTTATATTATACAGAACAAGCTTGCCATATACTTTCCAAACATTTAGAATTTTTTGAAACAAAAGTTCATAATTATTTCTTCACATAATTCAAAGCATATATTATAATATAAGAATCTATACTTACATTTAAAAGGTAAAGTACAAAACGAAGTAGCAAAATTATCAGGAACACTTCAGGAATTCAAAGATTGCAGCGTTGCATCGTTGTAAACGTGCATCATTTCTAACATCTTACGTGAGATAAGAATCATTATTTTACTCCTTTATTTAATATCGAATGACCTTTTATTATAGGTCGTTGAAATCGTTTCAACATACGCTATTGCACTAAAGATAAAAAAGTATGGCATGTCATTAAAAAAAAATAGGGGTGACCTTGAAATCGCTAAAGTGCCTGCACTTTTTGAAAAAATATTACTAACATGTTATGGCTCCCTTGATATAGTACAACTTTCGTAATTATAATTTTTTCATATCTCTAAAAATAGTGGATATGTTCGAGGTGAACAAAGTTATTGCTTCACTCTGCATTATGATATAAATATATGACAGATGATACCATGGACTTTACTAAATGTTATTGATCAGGATCTCAAATGCAGGAATACAAATAAATGATAGACCGCCAAGATCTCAATAGAACAGATATACAATTTATTTACAGTGTCATACTTTTAAAAGATAACAGTACATGTTACAATATACGTGGGATGCAAGTAAGCTTCGAACCATAAAATTTCAAATATTTTGATCGCATTCGCATAGACGGAGTCACAATTTAAAAAAGTGAAAATAAATAAATTCTCATGTAAGCTTTAATAACGTCAATATATCGATGACATAAATAAAGTTGTACTTTTGAGTATTTAGTTACGATTATTTTATCTGTCAAGCGTTTGAGTGAAGATGGTATTGTGTCATTTCCACCCGTCAAATACTTTCAACGTATTTATTCGGTACTTTGTTTCCACCGTAATCGGTAGGAACAAAATATTTTCACCGAAAAAATTATTGGACAAATAATCTCGGAAGAATATAATTTTGTGATTACAATTTCACTGGACCATCGATATATGTGCGCACGACAAGAAATATGCCGCTGCAATCATCAGATACTGTCGGATACTATGCTATATTAAATAAATAACATTACCTCGGTATAGTTATATTACAGAATTGAAGACATAGGTACAATATATACTTTACGCGTATTAACTTACAGTAACACTGTTCTTATCGTGATGTTCTAATCTGACAATTATGGTACATGAAGGATATTAATACGATTTGATTCGTTGAGGTAGATAATTTAATCAGTCTATGAAGCTGCTTTGTCGGTCGGTCAATTGTTTATTGATGAGTTTCCGTTCCGACCTTACATAAAAGAATCAGTCCTTGCCATTGGAAGATCCTTACAGTCTTTCATATATGCGACTGAGTTGTGCTGATTCTGATCTAAATGACACAGCAAACTGAATCTACATGATTGTGATGAACACAAAGATATATCGAGATACATTTAAAGAAAAGGATCTTTTTACAAAAGACAATCGAGATATGAAAATAATTGCATTCGAACAGATATGGAAGGAGATTCTGCCTTTCGCCCGATTTCTGATTTTGGCGACACACTCTGCGCCATGAACGTGTGAATTAATTCGTAAAACATACTTACATGATCAGTTATTTTACCTATAAATTATAATAAATTAAGAGATAGCATGTCAATTACAATGAAATATACACTTTCTACACGCCAGAACTCTTGTTTTCCCCTGTCCGTCGGCGAAAATGCCAATCGAAATTTCCATTCTCTGGGCTTTCACGTCTTTCCAGCGAAGCGAGTCCTGCAAACGCGCCATAAGAGGCATCTCTATGAAATTATGTACATCCATTTTGGTTAAACGCGTTATATTTGGTCAATAACGCGTAACGCGTCTTTATTCAAGCATACTTTGTACGTTAAATTGTTGCCGTCGAGTGAAAAGAAAATTATATATTTTATACGTTACGTGAGCGGAACTAATAATTCATCGACTTAATCAATTGGCAGTCTCCAGTTTAAATCAAAGATATGCAAAGATGTATTGTACATCGCGAAGATATATGCAAAGTTGTTATCAAGTTAAAAAGAAATATTTTAAGCTTGATTTGGTATGTCATCATATTGCATTATTACATAATTATATGCACAATTGTCATTATATAAGACATTATTTAATACTGCATACAACAATACAATGTTGTATGTAATATTATATAAAATTATATAATCACATAATTATGCGTCTTATTATACATGTATATAATTATCTAAATTCACATTATTAATATTGTAGAGCTGTTTGTACTACGTGAACATTAAAAATTAATTTTGTTAGAAGTATAGATTATTTTCTAGAAGTACAGGCATCTATACTTTTAATATTTTAATAGATTCCATCCATTACTTGTAATTTCTACCAGCAATATATCTTCTCTAATTTAAGTACTGTAACATTAGTACCGGTGAGACAGTTGATACAAAACGTTCCGCATTACTTGAAACGTAATATTTGAAATTGTACGTAAATATTGAGCTCTGACTCTGGACGTGCCAACGGGAAGATTGATGAAAGCAAGTAGTAGAACTCTGTATAATCGTTAGGACAGAATGTCTCGCTAGTTCGCGCGTTGTGTCAGAAGATTCAGCAATTCATTGTGATCCATACTATTCAATGTATGTATATCGATGCCGAGGGCATTTGCGACACTTTTCATGTCTAGACCAAAGCTCTTGAGCAGTTCAATAAAGTCCATTTCCTCGCCCGTAAAGGGATTATGCAACTTGGGGCAGCTATGGTTGCATTGCGGCCAAGTGCAACGCTCTATCATACGGAAATGGCAGTTCTTGATGCACTTCCGTTTGAATGACGGTATTACCGATCGCTGCGGCCTGATGCCGTTAAATATAGCCGTATGGTTGTTGCCATTGACTTGTTTGCCGCCCTTGCGACGACCTGAAAAAGATACATCAATTTCAAATAATCGTCGTCAATACAAACCACGTGGAAGACTCAATTTTTTTAAATTAATAATCAACGTTAATTAAAATTAAAATTGTTGCAAATGCCAAATAAATTTTCGGCCGAGCCATTCTTATAAAGTTATATGAAACAGCTTGGAACTATTCAAAGAATGTCGACTGTTATTGAGCAAGGTTCAAAACATGTTTGCGCATTGCTAAACCGTACCAGCGTTCTTTCTTCGCTGGTGTTTCTCTTTCTTTATTCTCTCCTCTTTGCTTCTCTCTCTCTCCTTCCTCTCTCTCCTTCTGCTTTTATGTTTCCTCTTTCGCCTCTTCTTATTCTCCCGCTCTTGAACCGAACCGGAGACCGGCTTCCTTCCCTGCATTTTAGCAACGGCAGACAATCGAGCTTTTTGCATTTCCGTAGAGGATCCAACTCTGCTTTTTCCGTCTTCGATCGAGGTACCATTTCCCTTTCTGATACCAGAACGCAATAGCTTTTTTAGCGACTTCCCGCACGGTTGATTGGTCTCGATTTGCGAGTGAGTACTGTAGCAGAACGAAAAACATTATCTCTTCGAGGCCTCGAACGTCATTGATTTATTTACCAAGACGAATCCAAACTACACTTTGGCAAATATTTTCTCGGCAAGCAAACAACACGGTGCCAACGAATATATTTTCATTCGGCTGGCATGCCACAACGAATCCCCCTCGGCTACTTACTTGTTATGCCCATTGTTAGGATAATTCCCGATCGGCATTTGATCCCAGCAAAACAGTGCCTGTGCAAACGAAACCTCATCTATTTTGATCATCTTCCAATCTCTTTTCGTCAAGACACTGTGACTAATGCAACTCGGGGCAAAGACCGCGGTAACATTTTCAAACGTCTTCCGCAGACTGTCGCCCATCTTATGTATGTAGTCCCATTGCTGTCTTGTTACCGGTGCCGCGACATTATAGGCTTTCATTTGAGCCTCATCGAATATCCATTGGAAGACAAACAACGGCGCTAAGATGTTAAATAAAAGAATTTAAATTTTCCTCGAAACATATCACAGTTTAGACACTACTGAAATTTTCATGATACGAGATTAACTCACCGGTCAAAGTTGGATAAAGCCGATATCCGAAAAAGCACTTCCACGGCTCGTTAGGATATCTAACTACGCAATTATGAGGCATCTGAGAGTTCCATAATTCCATTCCTTTTTGTATCGCATCGACCGGCGACAGGCCATTCGGGAAGTAAGGTGCTCTATCGAGGAACCATCCGGAATCCGACACGCCACGTATAGCAACATGTCTCAAGCCTTTGCGAATAGATAAAAAAAGTCTTACTTAATAATCGAAGTATATAATATTGGTGACTGAGAAAACTAAAGTGCCTATGTAATGAAATAAGTGGAGAGACTCAAACGTGGAAGAAATCAATATTAATCTGATTCAAATATTTTGCCAATGTTTTATAAACGATACTGTTTCGTTCAGTGTTAAGACGGAAATTTATATAACTTTTATACAATATTGTGTACAAATCTACAGGGTGAGTCTTTCCATATCCGACAAAATTTTTGAGAAAGTAGAACGGATCGAGATAAATGGAAAAGTCCTGTACCATTTTGCAATTTTCGTAATAGTTAAGGAGCAATTAATTATTAAAAATCGTTGTCTTGGACCGGCCTACCGCCCAATTCGAGCGCGTGGCAAGATGTGACCGCCCGGCGATCGATATTGCTATGCGCACATCTCGCCACGCGCTCGAATTGGGCGATAGGCCGGCCTAAGACAACGATTTTTAATAATTAATTACTCGTTAACTACTACGAAAATTGCAAAATGGTACAGGACTTTTCCGTTCATCTCGATCCGTTCTACCTTCTCAAAAATTTTGTCGGATATGGAAAGACTCACCCTGTATATTTAAAGCCCATAGATATTAAAATTGCAGAACGGCACGCGAGAAAGTAGCTTGAACTTACATTAGTGTCAGTGCTAAAGATACTATTGAGGAGGCAAATTAAAATATGATTCTATGCTGAAGCAGCGTTGACGATAAATACAAATAATTTGTAATAACTGTTATTATCGGTGCTGATTTGCATAACATAATTGGATTGTCAAATGAGAAACGTGCATTATCATGAAAATTGAGGCAATTATCATTAATGATGACGGAAGTCGGTTAATTAGAACAATAATTAATAAATTGATTATATGACGTACCCAATTCATGATGTATCAGATTGTGAACGCGATTCAAATTTAGCATGACGCCGGTGCCGCCCGCACTGCTACCGGCTAAAAGAAAGGCGCTCGCGTTTTCGAGGCCAAGGGGAACCAAGTCCCGGATGATCTGGACCACGATCTCTGCCCCCATGAAGGAAAACATGTCATTCTGCGACTTGGTGGCCCTACTGCCGCTCCAGCTGTCGCTCGTGCAATAAGGAACGAAACTGTGGGACGACAACAATAATGGCATCGTTACGTAAAGACGTGATTAGTGACGCGGCGATGCAAGAGGTCGACTATACGATAGACAATACCTACACGTGATTCGTACCCCAAAAGAATGGATTTTCATCGGGATTCGGCGAGAGCATCCCGCCCACTGAAAAAAAAATCATAAATACTTTTATTTTCGCAATTGGTGGCAGTAACAAGTAATACGTATGTGTTGATCGAGGATCACCTGTTGCCTTGCGGCTACAGATATTGCGACAATTATTCAAATTAAAAAGCCACTAGTAATTATTGCACATTGAAACTTACAAAATTTCAACTAATTAGATCTCCACAATAAGATACAAATAAATAACCAAAATTTTTCTGAATCACTTTAGTTGAATATTCCCTGACAGATTTGCTTGTGAGTTATCAGGGAATATTTAAGAATGAAAAAATTGAAAATACATAATTAAGTTACGCAACAAATGAAAAGTATTCAATAATGATTGGGTTTATACATAAATTTGTACATTAATATTGCAATGAAGGTTCAGAAAGTTCTCTGATATGCGTATATGCGCTGCATAAAAAATATGATTTATATTGTCCTTGCGGTGCAATAAATACCATTCGTACGTAATGAAGCGTACTCGTACGTGTTGATCCGCATCGCATAACACGTATTATTAAAATGACGCGAGGAGCAATATGAACGTTTAAAAACGCGCGTCCATGGAGGATCACCACGAAATTAATTTATGACGCAGCGCGAGTTTCGGTGCTTGGATGCACGAGCGGAAAATCGTTTTCGTTCCGCGCGACGTATAATTATAAACGATCGAGGACCCACCGTCGCGTGTCTCGGGCCACTGGGTTGACGTCATCAGGTGCCGCATCCGCATCCACCTGGTCCTGCAGCTCTTGTGGTCGTAGCAATACCAGCCGCCCTCCAGGTACATGATCCACCGCCTGGAACCGTGGGACTTTCGTAGGTAGAAACCGGCCTGCGAGCCATCGTTGCAAGTGATCGACCTGTTGCTTAGATACACTTTCTTCAGGGCCCGCTGATCATCCAGCCCGTATTTCCCCAAGTAGCTCATCACCTTCCTTATCGTGTTGCTCTGAAACTCTTCCGGCGAACCCAAGGAAACCGAGGAAACGGAGACCGTGTTTGTTGGTTTGTCCTCGGCGATTATTGTCAGGATCAGCGCCGCTAAGTACGGCATAATCTGAAGTACGCAAAACGGAACATCTATAACTCTCGATGCGTCACATTTGTCTATTCTATATTCAAAAATTCAAATATAGTTCACCCAAATATATAACATTTAAATATTTTAATTTGATATCTTAATTTAAATATTATCAATCTTGGATAATTAATGTCTTCGAACGTGGCTTTCGTGTGTGGACTCTTCCTCGCGTTTTTTTTAATGGTCTTTATGAACGTATCGGCGATCGGGCCAACACATTACACGGCTAATACTTAACAAATGAGCAACTGATGAGAGAATAATTTGAGAAACGACGATAACGGAGGATGCCGAGCGACATGGCGCCACTCTCCTTCTCTATCCCGCGTACAGCCACCATATTCAACGGTGGCGCGTTTTACCGCAACAACGTCCCTCGGCCTCCTGCCCCTCTTTCACGAAAACGACTACTTAGGATCAAGTTCCAGCATCCAGGACGGTAGCCGGCGGCGGAAACACCTCGGAAACAGAAGCTCGGTCTCGATCTCGGTCCGAGATGAAAGCCTGCCGCCAACACTGCGGATGGTAGGAAGGAGAAACGTTGTTGCGACGCAATTATGATCGGGCATAATGGGCCGCAAACGGCGGATTGGGTTCCGCTCCGTACGGAGCAATGGGAACAAAAAGAAGAGGAGGCTCACCTCTCTCGCCTTTCCCTTCGCATTGCGTCGTAGCCGTGAAAGAAACGTACTGCGCGATGTCATGATTCAGCCGCAGTCACCAATTGTTTACTGAGGGTTTCTCGTGATCCATGCGAAACACAGATACCCAATTCAGGATGCAGCACTTGATATTGACGGCCATGCCGTACATCGTATTTCTCAATCAAAATTAAAGATAGCTCGCCTAGCGAGTGGGAGGTCCAGGTTTAAACCCTGGTTGAGGTGATATTTTTTTTGCAATAAATTTAGAATGAAATATTTAGACACTTACACCCTGTCACGGCTCTTTAATCCTTCAAAAATTAAAGAATTCCTTACATTTATAGCCTAAAGAGCGGAATAAAATTCGTTTCGCCTGTCAAAATTTTAATTACTTTGAAATATTAATCGTGCGATAATTTTTGGATTTTATTTAAGTCAAATTTACTGTCACAGAAGAAGACAGTTATTTATTCGTCAACTTCTTAGGTAGGGCAACGAAAAATTTTTTCAAATTGTAGCCTAGAGTTTCATCAACCCATGGAAAATTGCTAGAGAAATTTATTTCGGGTTCGAAATATCAGCGTGACACGACACTCCGGATTTCTTAAAACATTAAGGACGACTGAGCGGAAAACGTTTCATGGTTCCGATGTTAAGTACCAGGGTACGCAGCAACCCCTCTATTACCGTAAAACTTAAAGCTGACCGAAAGTGGCATGTCCCCCTTCCGCCGAGTACCTTTCGCGTAACCACAAATTATCGGGAAAGCGTAGCGACGGACTTGCAGCGATTTCGAGAATCCGCATCGAATCGAAACTTTCGGGGAGGTCATAAATAAAGTAGACGACTCGAACGGGGGTGCTTCCACTCTGCGCTTAACCGCTTTATTATGCCGTAAATCAATTCGTTGGGGTGTCGGCCTGGGTTGCGGAGGGGTAGTTTTATGTTATGCTCTGAGCGAGGCTATTCAAGAGCCATTGAAAGAAAGAGCGCTGGAAACCCACCTTGAGCCGTAGTTCGGCAAAACGATATCACAGCGCAAAATGTGTTTACTTTTCATTATTGATATTCCTAAATTTGTGCGTCTTGGTTTATTTTTTAATTGGAAATAAGACTAACTGGTAAACTATTATATCAATTTATCGCTTCTAATTATAATTTTAGTAACTTTCTTTTATAATATGAATAGATAGAAACATTGACAAAGATATAGGCAGAGAGAGAGAGAGAGAGAGAGAGAGAGAGAGAGAGAGAGAAAGAGAAAGCAATGATACAAATAAATATAATAAATTCATAAAACATACTGCTGTACATTTTGAAGAATAGAGCCAGAAATGGTATGAATTTTCTCTTTCCAATTTTTTATTATATTTGAAATCACATAAGCATATAAAACACTCTGACACATGAGTATTAGAAATACGTAATGTACCATAGGCAGAATATTAAGCGACATCATCAAACTGCAATTAAAAAGCACATAAATCACAATAATTTACAGGTTACAAATCTAATGTTATTGTATATTACAAGTTACCATGTTATTTCTCCAAAATATTTGCATGCGTTCAATTTCTATCAACTGTTTGAATTCACTGTGTGAATTGTGGTAGATGGATTTTTGGACGATAAAAAATTGCCACTAACTCTGTCACTCAGTCATAAATTAATTAACGGTTTCTAATTAATTTTTCTTTTAAATGCAATAAAATGCGGCTAGAAACGAGCTGGATAGCGTCTACCAGAATTTTAATTTCTGTAGAAATACTTTTGCGTAATCTCAAGCTTTCTCTCGAAAAACATGTACTCGTGGTATATTAAGAACTCTCAGTCCTCTCTCCCCCCACCCCCTCTCTCTCTCATTCTGTAACTCTTTCTTCCTCTTTCTTTTTACGGGCTCCATTGCCGGCGCATTAGAAGGTGTCCTGGGCGTGAAGGTGTCCGTCATAATTTGCCACCCGGCACATAATCCCCGTGACAAAGGCCGACAAAGTGACGGCTGTTACTTGGACCGGCGGCGCACCGTATACTAGCTACAGGGAATCCGGTAGCAGGTAAAACGTTTAAAGATACCGTGCACCGCAGTCAAAGAGATGAATCACGCCGTAGATAAATGGCCGCGATCTGAACGGCTTTTTACGGCGTGGCGAGGTGCGGTGCACTCATGCGAGCCCCGGGTATTCGCGTATCCATCGATATTTTATTATCGTTAGTGCACACGTGATAAAGAGAAAGAAACTTTCATCGTTCCCTCCGACGCAAGACATTTCCTTCTTCGTGATTTTTGTCGAGAAATTTCGGCCAGGATGTCATGATATTAAAAAATTCATCTTTTTTTCCCCCAATACTTCGTCACACATGCATAATATACTTATACTTTAACGCCTTGTTTTAACCCTTGATATCGGATGAATTTTTCGAGGAAAAATTAAGGGATCCCTGTAGGAATGCATATTGTATTAAGCATCGGATTTTATTGTAAATTGTGTAATTGATAGAACAGACAGTTGGAAAAATTCATTGGAAAATAATTGTCCCTTTTATCTTTTAAAACGATATTAGTCGTCTTACGTTTAATGATCTTTCTCATTGCTGAGTGCATTTCATCGTTGCAGTTTTATTTAAACCTTCTCCTATCATAGTACATGTTACAATTTCATAAAATGAAAGATTGTACGAAAATAGATTTAATTATCGGCGGATAATTAAAAATATTTCCCATTGGAATTATCTCGATCTCGGTTCTTGCAATATTAATAATATTCAATTACGCGGCTCGACATCGATGCGATTTTATTCATTTTACGTGTTTATTCCATCCCAAATGAATAAAAATTATCCTTGAAATTTATACGTTTTGCTACGTGTATGTGCGTGTATATACGTAGAATAAATGCACTTAATATTGTATCGCACATAATAGGGCAATACTTCATCAAGTAAGCTCAGCACTCTATTAAAACCTGACGGAATTAGTTCCCTGGTGTTTGGAGAGAAACATATTGTATGTACTTTCAGCCTCGCTCTAACGCATTTGAAACGAGAAACATTTTTCTCCAACATAATCTCGTCAATATTTTTAACGTCCAAAAAAATATATCTAATAAAGTCAAAGTAAGCAAGCAGTGTAATATATGTAGTATATAGATAGTCGTTAAGGCAGTATAATAATGTAATGTAACAGTTGGTTTATTTACTTAAACATTGGGGAAAAATTCAAAATCAATGCTTGAAAAATTGCATTGAAGTTACTTTCATGTGTCGAGTGTACAAGCTCAGATCATTAAATTTTCACTAATACTACTAACGCATTACATACAATTGTAGAACATAGTAAATATTATACCGTTAAAATTAAGAAAAATTTACTTATTATAATAGTATATTCCGCAAATGTCATTCCTGGTATTTAATAATATTTAATGTAAATTACCGAGATATTTATATGAATTCCTTTCTATTGATTTAAGACGTATAGAGGCCATCGGTCCCCTTTACCCTTTCATGTAAGTAAATGATCTCTGAAACTTTAGCAGAAATGACGTCGAACGGCAATGCCCTGCTTTACGAGTCCGTTCTCCACAAAAGAAGCACTCGCTTCCGCGAGATTAAGAAGCTGATCCGCCTCCCCCGTCGCGAATTCATTTGTTCCACACCTGATTCTCTCTCGAGGTTGACTGATTCTCGTAGTTGGTGATGCGTGGCATTCCGCCGATGCGGCGTGCGCAAATGCACGCGCATGAAATGATGAAGAAAGAGAGAATGCGAGAGGAGGAGAGAGAGAGGGGAGGGTATAATAGAAAGAGAGAGAGAGAGAGGGGGGGGGGCGGTGCAATTTATTCATACTTTGAGACATGGATTCCCTGAGAGCACATAGAAAAGCATGTAATTTTAAGAATACATACATAATACATTGATAGATGTATTCAAAGGTAGAAAATGAGATGTGTATTTTAAGTACGTAGTAACGGCGAGAGAGAGAGAGAGAGAGAGAGAAATAATAATGGCGACAAGTGAGATTATAATATTAGGCAAATATGTAATTGCGCGCGCGCGTGTGTGTGTGTCGTTAAACTGAATTTCTGTGCCAACCTGACTTGGTTAATATACGAAATGATAAATTTGTATAATATAATAGATCCCGAATTCATACAGAATCGTACATATTGCATAGAAATATATATGTATACATCGATATACAATGCGTACAATTTGTATAGATACTTTCTTATAGACATATCTTTTTTACAACTTGCGAAGCATAATAAATTTCGACTTTACTTTATTCAATTGTGATTGAGCTCCCAGATTTGGACGATATCACAAATGCCT